AAAATCGTCCGCGATCCCCGAAGATTCCGAGGAATTCGGCGGAGCATTATGTAGCTACCGAAGTAATATTTGTTTTCTTCGAGTCGAGCTTCAATGTCATGGCAAGTGAGAAAGCACGACTTGGGCCCGTCAGCAAGTCGGTAATATGTTGTTAAATTTGAGGTTATCACAAAGATATTCGAAGAATCTGCACGTTTTGCCGTAGATGCCCGCGCACACGAGCCGGGTGAGTACATGAGTGCCCACTAAATCCGAGGCGAGAGGCCTGCAGTACTTCCGCTCAGATGAAGGAATAAGGAAGATACGGCGCGGGTGGATCGACTTGACGGACGCATCGTGACTCGACATGGAAAAACCTCAATGGTACCCCCACGTCGTTGTACGAATTTTCGCCTCTTCAACGTATCTGCTGTGAAACGTGTTGAACTCATTCGTGATCGACTGTCTTAAGAACGTCCCACTGAGGTAGTGAGCCGAACATTCCTCAGCAATTATTGGAGCTGGAAAAATCTCCGAAGATTTTCTAATCAATTCGAATCTCGCAGCGTTGGAGCGACTGAACGCTCCCCCACCGAGAGGATGGTAACTAGCTTAGCACTGAAGCGGCTTCGCTGAGATTCTTCGCCGTTATCCTCAGCTGATATTCACGGAGGTCGAATCCCGATTGGAATAATACTCGTACCTTCGTTAGAACCAAGAATGGGGTGAATCGAGATTTCGCTACGATTTTACTGAAAGGGTCTGGGCAAAACCTATGCAAATTCTGCCCTCCGAAGCCGATCTGATCGAGTGGGGTCTCAATCGAAAGGTAATTTTGAGAGGAATATTTTCCGCATGGTCCCGGATCCGATCGCACCTCGTGGTCCCCGTAAACGCCCGAAGAAGTTTTTTCTTCAACCCCTTCTATCTCGAGAACGGCTATAGCTACAGAGTCGTGCGATAGCGCGATCGAAAGCTCTCGACGAGAGCTTTCGATTGCACCCCCTGGTCACCCGATTCGGCCTCAGGGACAGGAGAAAACGTCCATCCTCAGAATTTTTCATCCAATCCCATTGAGGAAGCACACGGATATTGCGATTCAGGGTGACACTCATTAGGGCTCATCGGGTATGGGGAGATAAATACGAACTATAGTCCTTCATGAAGATTACGACTTCATTCAGTCATTAGCTCCATCCGCCTTTGACTCCCTTTCGCCTCCAGACGGCAAAAATAGATTTTCCAGGTTCGCTGCCGGACGAGGAATGGTGTCGAGATGTCTCGCATGAGAGAGATAGAAAACCGCAGCAGCAACGTGCAAAAGAAGAATTAGGATTTGCTATCTTTGCTCAGTGAGGGCGATGTCCTCGTCGTCGACTGCGGATTCCGAGAAGCTGTCAAGAGCATGGAGAAAATGGGTTGCCGAGTGGTTTTGCCGGCAATGAATGGTAACAGGAAGCAACTACCCCGCGACGAAGCCAACAAATCCCGCCTGGTTACGAAGGTGCGGTGGATCGTTGAGGCAGTCCATGGATGGGTCGCGCAGAGGTACAAGCTCCTGCACCATAGCCATGATAACAAGCTCATACCCAAGGTTAAATCTCTGTGCCGAATCATCGGATATCTGGAGAATGCATATGGACCCCGATCGTGGGGAGAGGGCGAGCTGAGCGAGGTCGTCATTGACCACATGGAACATCGTATGAACCTGCCGAACATTCTTGAGAACGAGGGATGGAATCGACGTTGGACCCTTCTTCAGAGGATTTCCGCCCAGGACCTGACCGACTTCCCGAAGTTGACTGAAAGTCAGCTTTTCCTGTTCGTTTCTGGACCATTCCAAATCAACCTCGCACGGTCCTACCTGGCGGAAATGATGGACGGCGACGGTAACATCGAGATGAAATTCGTCAGGGAGGCGCCGAACGTCGTTCAGCTCCAAGTAAGGTCCCGCCACGTAAATCGCAAAACCTACAGGATTTACATCCCTTACCATCCAAGCGAGAACAGTATCGACGGAATCGCGGAGTATTGGTGCGAATGTCCGAATGGCAACAGGACGGTGGGCTGTTGTTCGCACGTTGCTGCTGCGGTTTTCTATCTCTCTCATGCGAGACATCTCGACACCATTCCTCGTCCGGCAGCGAACCTGGAAAATCTATTTTTGCCGTCTGGAGGCGAAACGGAGTCAGAGGCGGATGGAGCTAATGACTGAATAAAGTCGTAATCTTCATGAAGGACTATAGTTCGTATTTATCTCCCCATACCCGATGAGCCCTAATGAGTGTCACCCTGAATCGCAATATCCGTGTGCTCCCTCAATGGGATTGGATGAAAAATTCTGAGGATGGACGTTTTCTCCTGTCCCTGAGGCCGAATCAGGTGACCAGGGGGTGCAATCGAAAGCTCTCGGCTTCAGCTTTCAGATTCCGGGCTCAAAAACGGGCTCCTGGTGCTAGTTTAGGAGTAATCCGGCGAAAAAGGGGCGAACCGGGAAAATTCCGGAAAAAAACGGATTTTGGCCGGGGAAAATAATAATTTTTTCACCTAAAAGGACACTTCGATTATCCTGATATGATGGCTAATGGTCGGGGTACACTTGGGACTTCTATCTGACGAAGTATCAAAGTGGCGTCTCGTGTAGAAGTACTAGAACGGAGTATTAGAAAACTGGGGTTCCCGATTTTCAAAGCCTTAGAAGAGGCCGATTTGGTCGAGAGGGGTCTCAAACGAAAGCTCTCGTCGAGAGCTTTCGATCGCGCTATCGCACGACTCTGTAGCTATAGCCGTTCTCGAGATAGAAGGGGTTGAAGAAAAAACTTCTCCGGGCATTTATTCCGTCCAGGAGTACTAATCAGATCCGGGACCATGCGGAAAATATTCCTCTCAAAATTACCTTTCGATTGAGACCCCACTCGATCAGATCGGCTTCGGAGGGCAGATTTTGCCCAGACCCTCTGTTCATGAACCTCTTCTGCTCGATTCTATCAGACACCGAACTGTGACGGCTGGTCTCATCCTCGATCTATTCCCTGATTCGGATTCGTGTCAATAGTGAAATTGAATGACGCTCGAAGTCAATGAAAGTGTAGAGGTATTTGAAGAATGTCGGTGAAGATGATGAGTAAAGTGGCCTTCTTCGGCCGGCCAGATCTCATCAGTGGGCAATAACGGCGTCAGCGAGGAAAATTTTCTCACACTTTCTTGTTGACTGTTTCGGGCACTTGTTCTCTAAGTGTGCTGAACACCACAGAGCTGGCTCTCCCTCCTACCTGCCCGCTTGGCTACCAAGCTACCGCCTTACCAAGCTTCCTTCCCGCGCTCTCCGCTCGAGTGCCTTCTAGCTGCAGCGTATTCCCTATCGGAACTAATAAGAGCACAGACGGAACACCGTGACACCAAGGACGACGTCATCGCCGCCGAGCGTTCCCACGTAATCTGCTATGGGAACGGCGGCTCGCTGGCTGTCAGGTTCTTAGGCGAAGCGGCGCGGCGGGTCAGCAGGGTGTGGTAAACCTTGCACTATAGTCTCGACGGGAAACTTCGACGTTCTTTAGACAGACCATGCCTTACTTTGCCCCGACTCGACTTGACGCGACTCGAAGCACACTCGGTATTCGAGATATTGATCCAGAGTCTTTTGACGGCCCACTGAGTGGTGCGTCTGCTGTGAGAATATGGTGTTCAGGCCGAGGCCAGCTCCCGGCGACGGTCTCAAGCTCAAGGCATCCTGCCAACGAGATCCTGAAGAGACGATGGAAAATAATGATCTTGAGAACATTCATGGAAGTTTCATGATATCGATATTATTATGTTCGGAATATCCAGGCAAGAACTAAGAAGGATAGGCGTCACACGGCGGATCGATAAGCGAGAACGGGTGGAACGAATCTTATCTTCATGAGATGAGAATCTTGGACCACCACGGATGGATAAAGAGAGCTCTTCGAATTTCGAGCATCCTTGAGCTCATTGATATTTCGGCGATCCCCACAGAGGCGGCTCGGTGCAGATATAAAACACGCCATATAAGTCCTATTTCTCAATCCATTAACCTCCGACATGTTGCTGCGAAGTCTTTCCATTCCTATTCGAATAGAAGGACGTGCTCTGTTTTCACTGAGAACGGTTTGAAAGCTCCCGAAGGAGATTCTTTCGATGGAGTTTGAAGCCTGTACCCAGATCTAGAATGGAGGAATCTCTGCCCCTGGACTGTGTTGAGGTTCGTGTCACCTTGTCAATTTGAGGCAATCTCTATCAGGCTGTCAGGCTATTCAGATCGCCTCAAAGATATTCCTATTCGGAACACTGGGAAGGGCTGCGTTGGAGACAAACGTCACCATGAGCTCTCAGCTCACGTGACGAAGGTGTTTCTCTGGAAGACTGTCACATTTACGAAAAAGGAGAGACAATTGACCCTTTGCTACCCGGTGGCAGATCATAGCGGATAATAGGTTCTTGAAATTGTCGAGAATTCTGTAGATATAATCTTCCTTGATATCGATGACTGCAAGTAGGATCACGGACCGATGTCGTCCATTCCCTAGGCCGAGCCGGTACAGCATGAACGCCCAGAAAAGCAGGGCGTCGCACCGCCAAGTGAACTAGGACCCTCATGTTGCCGGAAGACTCAGGTTTCTCATATCAGCCCCTTCTCTACCAGCCGATTGTTCCTGAAGGTCGGCCCTCTGAGACAGTCGAGACCGCCGTTTTGATAATTCCTAGGAATTGTGACATATTTCGCTATGAGCCAGAAATTGCGGGAATGAGTCCTACTTGTTAGGGATATTGCGGGAGACTTTAATGTAGGACTTATCGAAGCGTGCGCCCCGGCTGAATGAGTATACTCTCGGTATCGTCAGCTGTCATTGAGTTCGACGACGATCGATGACGTTGACGCGTTCGAGAGTTCGCTCTCGCGTAAGCCCTGTCGTCACTTTCGAATATTGGGATTAGCATCTCCCTCATCCTCAGTTCCGGTAGGTCGACTGTGATGAAATCGACGGAAGAGGCTACAGCTCATAATCGAGAGTCGCTCGTGTGCAGCGGTCGTTCTGTTACAAGTGTTCACGACTGGATATGACATTCTTCCACGCCTCCACCCACTGATTCAGTGTTGCGCAAGCGAGTGCTTGTGATCAATGCCGTGATTCTGGTAGGCCGCTTATCTCTGATGAGTCTCCGATTAGAGACTTCCAGCCGTTCTAGCTGATATTATCACTCCATCAGAAGTGTTTAGTTCTACCGCTCACATCGAATGAAAAATTCTATTAGACCGTCTGTCATCAGGAGCATACTCGTGCGACCTAGATTATGAATCAGCTGGATGGGCTAAGTGTATCTGTGTAGCCTGTGGACCTGCCTAATCTACTTAGCTTGTCAGATAGCTCGGAGCACGATCATTCGAAGAGCCCCCGCTCCCGTGTTCGGGAGTCCATGTTCCATGCGCCGATCGAGGCTTAAGGTGTTTCTCTGCAGAAGCGCTTTTTCCGTCTCTACAGCTCCTCCGATAGTCCGCCTTGTCTACTTCTGGGATCGCGACGTGTCCAGGGTTTCGAAGTTTTAGGTTCTCTCTAGAGATACTCGATACTCATACCCGGCGGATTCTCTTGATTCCCACTTAGTTTCCTTGATTTCATTGATTTTCGTGATGCAATCACACCTTACACCCTCATGGATCATGGATTCGGGAGATCGTCGGAAGCTGCGTTTGTGGAAGCTTCGTTCACGAGCAAAACCCTCTGACAAAGCTCGCCCCCCCCCCCTGCCAGCATGAAGCGGCTCCGTCTTGTGACGTGCTCCTTGGAGACACCGTATACCCATCCCCCCCGCCTCCCCATGCGGTCGGGGCTTACTGGAATTCGAATTCACCGGTCGAATGATTTCCTTCCTTTAAAATCGAGATGTATTCCTGGAATAATACGAAGCATATCGAGTGCAGTGCCCTCGCAGTTAGTGGTCTGTACCCCGAGGGAACCGATGTGACATGTTCGCGCTCTTGTGTTTGACTCGCGAGAAGTTCCAGCGGGCATTTCGTGATATTTGTCCTGATTGATATCGTCCGATCTCTAGAGACCGGAGCGCTCCTGCTTGGAATTGGTTTTGCGAGAGGGGTCACGGAGGCGGGGTCCATGTTCGAAGAGTTCGCTCTTTCTCAGATTCTGAGGGAATCTCCATCGGCGGCCCGAACTCCGCGTTTCGTTGTCCCTCTCAGTCTCCGTGATTCCCCTGATGCTCGGACACCGTTTCGACTTCCGACAACGTTTTCAGCGTCGTCCGACAATCGACCCACCCGTCCGCGAAGGTTCCTCGACAAGTCGTTGGATCACGGACCTGTTCAGAACATTTCTTCAGAAGTGGTCCACCGTCCGCCTGATCGGGCGACACGCAGGAGCGTGGGCGAAAGGTGGCTCCAGCAACCGGAGCATTAGGCGCTCTGCGTGTCGGATCGGTGGACACCACTAGAACGAACACGGCGGAAAATCTTCCATTAGTCTCGATTAACTCGCTCCTCTTCCGCTCGATCCACACCCGGTCGCAAATTCTCAAAACGGCGGCACGGGGCCCTTTCCGAAAGAACATTTTCCACTCGGAGACACAGGGAGCGGATTGCGCAGAAAATCCATGGGGAGGATCCCGGTCGAATCGGCAGTTGCGAGACGATGTGCAATCTGTTCACACGCGAACTTCTCAACTGGTGCCTTATCTTGGACATTTCCGAATTTCAACCTCTCGACAGCGGATCAAAGTCAGATGAGACGCGAGCCGGGGGTCCGTCTAGGTTCCTCCCGCTCAAATAGCGCTGGGACGAATCGAAAATCAGCGAACGGACCGATAATGCGATTCATGTTTTCGTCCGCGCGGAAGCGTACGGCCGAATGAATGTGAATGTTTGACAGCTGGATGTATCGGTCGTGTGTGTGTGACTGCCGTATGATTCCGCTTTCTCCGAGTCACCGTGCAGTAGGAGCCGCCTTCTGCAAGCGAGCACTTCACCACCACCAACATCATCATGGCCATCATCATCATCATCATGATTTCGATCATGATCACTACGGTTGCTGAGCAGCGGTGGTAGCCGCTGCCGACGCAACGGCAGCTCGCTCGCGGCAGCCATCAGTCGAGAAGGGCGGAGTCGTTGAGCTTGTGTGGCTGTGCAGTCGACCAATCGGCAACCCTCGTCCACAAGAGCCGTCCCCAGTAGCGCTGCTGCCGCTCGTTCTACGGCTTCTCGGCTTCGGTCAAAGTCATGCGCCGCTACCGCTGTCGTGCACTGGTTGGGCTGGCAGCTATTGCTTCGTTGGTTGGTCGTTTCGTGTGCTGCCCGACTGGCTGAAACGACGGCTAGGGCTGGCTGGCTGGTCCGTCGCACGGGCGCCTGCCCGCTCGCTCGCTCGCTTATACAAACCGACGTCTACACAAACACGGCGACACACACACACACACACACACTCACCGTGAGGCAGGCAGGCTGGCTCACTCACTCACTCATTCCGCTTACCAGCAGCAACAGCAGCGCACGACGACCACCGACACCAACACGACCAACAACAGCAGCGGCACCACCACCACCACTACTACTACTACTACCTACCAACACCATTGATGATGGACACCGCAGCAGCCGCTACTGCTGCCGTCTTCATCGTACTCACAAGCACTGTTCGTAGTTCCAGTACTGCTGCGGATATTCGGGCTGTTGTTGCTGCTGAGCCTCCCGTCGATCTGCATTAGTGTGTAGAAAACGTGACAAGTGTGCCACATGCGTGATTCGTGCTACAGTGTACTTGATCTCCGTGTGAAGCTACCATTTCTGCGGAAGACAAAGGCAAGCCGAACGATTGCTTCGAGAGCTACCGAGAGAAGACTTTGCTGTGCGAGCGGAGAGAAGTGATCAGACTGTCTGATCGGACACTATTCGGCTTTGGAATATTTTTGTGAACATCGCAGAGAGTGTCTTCGGGAACTCACCGTCGAGAGTTCGCCCGTCCTCATCTTGAAGGGTTCCAGAGTCGTAATGGTAGGAGTAGACACGGTGCAGATCAGAATACCTCCCGGAGGCGACGGATTTCGTGAACGCGAACGTATCTCCGGGATAATTATCTTTTCCGAGATTCGACTTTTTTTCCGAAATATTTGATCGAATATATCGATCCTCAAGAAGAATCTCTCCCTCAGGAGTTCTTAGGAGAACTCGATCTTTGTCCTTTCGCTTAGGAAAGTGCTAAAGTATGAGCTTTCGTGAAGTGCCGTGCACGACTGAAAACTCGTGGGTGACCCTGATCTCGATCAATGAACTCTCAATACGTGGGGCTTTCCTAATACGTTCCTCCGGCTCGGGATTCTCCCGACCCATTTCGGGCAGCTCACACGTTAATATCGTAATCGACCCGGTCAATGAGAGCCTTCTCGAGTCAATGCCGGCGACGAGGGACATCCTCAAAAACTCGCGGAATTCGCTGGAATTCCGAGGCAGCGCGGTGCGATCCAGGGAAAACGGGAAGTCCCGATTCTTGATCATCCTCCATGACTTATGACGAGTTGGAGAATTACGACTCTTGTGGCTCTTCTCGAGCGCGTGAGCTCCCTGTAGATTCTATACTGTTATTTCGACCAGTCGTCGGAAGGCTGCGAAATGGCCCTCCGGGAGCAGACCCGCCTTCCTCGGCTCTCGGGCGAGACGACAATATTGCTCATCTCAAGGCTCTTTAACCTTTGCTTGTAATCGGGCGACTCTTCCAAGCTCCGTCTGCTTCATTTGGCCATTATCATCGAGACGATCATTTGGGACCGGAGTTCAAGAAAACTAGCTGCCGCACAAAGATCTACCGCCTCGTGGTCATATGAGAAAGCCACAGTTTCTTCTCAGTTGGTCATGCCATCAGCCAGCCAGCGACGCGGTCGGACTCCTTTATTGAGGTGCTGCCGTTGCCGCAAGAAGACCTTTTGGCTCCGTCGCGAACTATCAGGTGTCAATTACAAAGGGAACTTTTCGACACGCCGCTAGCTAGTCAAGCGAGAGATACATATTCCTCCGGTCATCTATTGGCTGCCCACTGACTGGACAGTCTGCTCACGAAGCTCTTGAAAGATAAAAACACCGCCGATGATAACCAGACTTTGTTTTACATGGGAAGTACTAACGAGGTATAAATTTCGTTATTTCAGATTCAACAATACATCCGTCGCGTATCGTGAATTCGGATGTCTCCGTTTGATTTCAGTTCATCGTTCGTGCCAACCCGGTGTCAGCGAATGGGTGAGAAATATTCTTTTACCTCACTGCCTTCACTTCCGCTCCCAATCACCGACCGAACACGAGAGCCGCCCCGCCGCTGCTTGGTCGAGTCGTCACGATAAAAAGATGCGCGCAGAAGCAGCGTACTTTGTCACGGTGCTGATTACGCAGCGAACCAGAGAAGTTTCTCGAACGCGAATGGGAGCCGAGTTCTCCGCGCCCCCCCCCCCCCGATACGTGCTAGATCCCTGCGGTGATCTCGGGAACAAGCCCTGGAAACCCGAGTTGCGAACTTCCCTAAATTCACGCCGAGCGAACAATCGCTTCCAATTTAAGTTGTTGATTGTTGTCGAGTAGGTTTCCGTTCCCTTGCCGGGTACGGTGACCCACGAAATCGAACGACATATGGGACGAGCTCACGCAAAAGTGCAAACCTCGGCTCCGCCGTCTTAGATGATGTCGATGAGCGTCCTCGTGTCGAGAAGATGCGGCGAGCAATTTTTTTTCTCTCCCGGACAGACTCATTATCCACTAATGTGGTGGCAACATTGGACGAACCCATGAACAACAGAAGGGAGAAGCTCCAAAATTAGCATAGCGGCCAACAATGAGACCTCGGCCGACACCTGGGAGTGGTTACGTTCATCGTCGTCGCCGCCGCTGCCGTTGCTGCCGCCACCGCAGCAAAGAATGCGGATCCGAGGGAGTGGGTGCCACGGAACTGAAAATCAACAACTTAAATCCCCTCGAGGAATTTTTCCAAGCAATCAAGAATGCGCTCGTGGGGAATCGATGGCGAGCGTGAGACCGTATCGTTTTCCGCAACACCGGCACGATTCGTCCGGTTGTGTTTCGGAGTTACGCGCGGAAGCCTCAGAGAATCCTCTCATATCATAGTTAGATGCTTCGGTCGGCTTGGGAATGGTAAAAGCGGACAGCTCCCGTTGGGAACGACTATCTACCTGAGAGCGTGTCTTTGTTCGAGCACTCGACGATGATAGTCGACAGAGCTGTGAACTACCGGGTATGATTGATAATCATCGTTTTCGACCATGGTTTACGACACGCAGTAACACGTCGACTCCACGGCAGTGTGTGAGTGTGTCACCAAACGCTTACTTGACGGCTGGTCTCTTTTTTGTGTATTTCGCCGATGCCGCCTTTCTCCTGACGACTCACACACGCTCGCTGGCATACAACACAGATAGACCGACGGACGGACGGACATACTTACACACACTAGCTTTACTGCCGAACGCAAGACTTGAGCGGCCAATGTCTTAAGAGGTGTCGCCGAGATCAAAGAGTGCTGCGACATGCGGGCGGTGGTAGTGGCAGGGAATGACGACTGTTGCTGCTGCTGCTGTAGCGGCTGCTGTGACGTTCGTTTGTTGCTCTCATTCCGAGTCAATTTCGCCCATTCTCGCTCGCTCGCTCGTTCGCTCGCGACGTTGTTTCATCGGAAGACCATTCCATCGTTTTCGCCTTCGCTTCATTCATCCACTCGTGAAATAACAGATGACATGCTTGTTGTTTTGTCTCGGTGCGCCAAAGACCGCTACGGCCCGATCAACGTAGGACCGACGAAAAAACGAAGGGGGCAGCGGTCGCGTCGTCGGACTCATGGATGAACAGACGGACAGGCAGGCATGCAGGCGACCTTACACGATCGCCGAAGTTGGACTCGAAACAAAAAGACAGATTCGTACATTCAAGAGCTCGAGTCGAATCCAAAAGGTTCCGCGGGAGTCATTGCGGAATTATGCGGTCTCACTCATCAGCGGAAATTGCGATTGCGGTGGCCCGCCACCAGGCAGTACGGGATCGAATCTGCGCACCGCATACGTGAAACTGGATTAGTAGTTTCGACAGCAGAAGACGAAACTGTGGGAGCATCGTCTGCCTGGTCGATTTGTTCCGACCGTGAACGCGTTCAGTTATGACAAAAGAGAAAGGAAATGACCAGATCGTTTGGAGGTCGACTGACTTTCCGAACCTCGTTGTTCGCCCGAACGAAAACATTGCGTGACTCGGATAACGACTCCGGCTGCGGTTGCAATTCTGAGACGAAACCGCAAGCCCGTTTTCTAGTCGCGCACCGCCAAGCTGAGACAGAGGGGACGAAGAGCTCGTGTGGGAATATTGACCAGTGATGAAACCCGTCAATAAGGACGAGGGATCATCCATCCCAATAAAAGCTTGCGAGAGCGAAAGGCGACTGAGGCGAGAAAGCACAGCCGCTTGTTTGTGGTATGTTCCCCAGCTGTAAACTCCGCCGATGGAGATTGGCATACGGAACTGACGAGTAAGAAAAAGGAAGTATCGCTTCGCATGTCTGGGGGGCTGGGAACTCCGCTGTAATGTGTGGCTAATCGTTGCGATTGAGTCACAACATGAGCTCGTGTGGCGATTGCGCCGCAGATACCACTTTATCGACGACTTGATTCTAGTAGGTACACGGCATATGGCGAGTTTACCCGAATGAGTTCCTTCTTTTTCGCGACAGATGCGCGTTTGGAGTGAGTGAGCGACCGAGCGAGTGAGGCAAAAGTCACAAAAAAGACATTCATTCTCCTACTCGATGGGGATTCTAGTATTATAAAACGAGAAGAGACAAATTGACTCCTCTGTGTACCGATAGTACTGCCTCATATGGCTTGTCACAGCTGATGAAGTTGCTACGGCGACAAATTTAGATCGCCATGCGCCCGATTCATCTCGAGCGGAAAGTTCCGATCAAACAATCGCATTCGTACCAGCATCACTCATAACGATCCTGTTACGACGAGCAGCAACAGTTCTGTAGTACGAATCGCTCGAGCCAATCGCCTTCTCGAAAAGAATAAAAGTGTCCGACTGAGATCGTACAGTGAGCGGGAGCAGGCGCTCCGACGCCGATAACTCGGAGGAAGCAGCAATCAAATAACGCCTCGAGGCATATTGAGCGTGCGGGCTAATTGCTCGCTATGTTTTCGGGTTAGTATTCCGCCGGCTGTTACTGGTTATCATTATCATGTAGCGTCCGTTCGAAACTAGTCTGCTCTGTCGACGTGGTGGTCTACAAACAATGCGTGACCACCTTACGACTCTGGCGCTCGATACTCTCCGTATCGGCTCTACAAGCCCGCGCTCGGTCGATCTTCTCCCCGATATTCGTCTGAGAGAACAAGTTTCTAAATGTAGAACAGATCGTCCTAACGCCTGGGAGAACGAGCCAACTTTACGGGAACAAGAAGTACACAGCGGTCCGTTGTCACTGGATAGAGCCAAGGGTTCTTCTACTTTTGAATCTCGTCTCTCTTCCCCGACTCAGCGAAGAGACCGTGATCCCCGAACGATTTCGTTCAAGATCATCAGGTTTCACTTAGCGGAACGTCGGCCGTCGTTGGCGTGATCGATCTTGTGCCGGAACATTTTCCTCAAAACTTCGATTTCGATTTCAATTCTCCTTCGTCCGGAGACTATTCGACCACGTATCGCCACGTCCTCGTAAGGGGAATCGCGGGGGAAGAAGACAGTCGACGTTCGTTCCGCTAGATTCCTGGAATCGTCATTGTCGCCGCCGCCGCCGTTGCCACCGACTTCCTCTTGTCTTCGCCATGTTGTTATCCATTATTAGGCCTCTTTCTAGATTTTTTTCGCTTTTTTTTGTTGATGCTCTTCTAGCAACCAGATACCAGGACTAGCTAGCAGCACCTAGTGAGCGAACCTAAAGTGCTTCTGGTGTGCCTGGTAGAGAGCGACGACTGGTTTTCGTCAAGCCACAGAAAGGCAAGTCAACAAGCCACCAGCAAACAGTGGGGCTAACCATGCCGAGACTACCCCATCCGTTGAGTGGATGCACGAAACAATCGCTGTTTTTTGTGACAGTCCCGTTTCTTCGGTAACAACGAGTTTGTTCCACAAAAAAACATCGAGCCCATGCGCCACGAGCCGTCGCGTTCGAACGACCGAACATTAGCGAATCGAAATCGTCGTCTACCGCCAGAAGAATTCGTAAATTCCACCACTCCCGATTAATTTCTGTCGTGGACACCTTGTTCTCTCGTGATTCGCATCAGCACGGAGTCTCAAATCGGCGATCGCTCGAATTTAATAAGCCCATTGTATTCAGACTTATTCCCTTCCGAGAAACACGAATGAATTTGGCGTGTGTCGGCTGGAGCTGATGACTGAATCCCATGTGATGATCCCCGAGCCTCGAATGAAAAGTGGCGATGACTTAGCTCGATACTCAATCCCGGGAACGAAGTGTGAAGATCAGAAAAGCGGGAAGATCAGAGCGGACGTTGGCAATCGCAGCGGCGGCAGGTTCGGAAGCAGAAGACGCTAGAGGGTTCCTTTCTGTATTCGAATCGAATCGGATTCTAGCGAGCCGGCGAGCCAGGCAACGAGCGAGCGCGCAGACGGAACGTACCTCCGATCGGCTGCTTTGTGAGAACCATAGACCACCTCGAAGCTTTATGGTCTGTCTTCCAAGGTGGTCTCTTCTTTTCTTCTTCCGTTTTATCCTGGCAGAATGCTCCTGTTTCCAACACGTAGGACGGAAAATAAAAGCCAAGCGATTGAAGAATCGAATTCCAGCAACGACGGCTGGCGAACCTGCTGCCGTCGTTGATCAATCTGGATTCGGATCACGAGTCGATGCAGCAACTTTTTCCAACGAGTTTCCTGACGACTCGCTTCCATGGTGTGACACCCGCGGTGGAATCCAGGTTCAAACGTCAGCTCCATCTAGCAAGGGGCACGGAGTATCGTCAGTGCTCTAAATCAACACCGTCTCGTGCCCCTTTATTCACCTTTGAATTATGTGCGTGAGCAGACTAGGTTGCCTCAATCGGGCCCGAGACTCCGTGATTCGTTATGTCACTCTGTCGCTCGAGTTCAACGAAAAAAGTAGGAGTCCACGTTGACAACAGTCAACTTGTTCGGGAAAAAAGTGTTCGGTCACGTTCGACAATTGATGCTTCTGCACTCGAAGTGAACCGCTGAACAGGGAACAGTGGTGTTTATGACCCATC